GACACTGTATGTGTAGAGTTTGCATGTTCTCCCTGTGTTTATGTGAAGCTCATCCAGGAGCTCTGGGTGTCTCCTTGTCTCCAGAGACTTGGTGTCCCTGTGATGTCGTGTCTGCAGTGCCCTAAGCATCCTGGGACTGGCTTCAGGAAGGTGTAAGGCGTTTCACTGTGACTCAGAGGCGTTTCACTGTCACTCAGGGGCGTTTCACTGTAACTCGGAGGCGTTTCACTGTCACTCAGGGGCGTTTCCCTGTCACTCAGGGGCGTTTCACTGTCACTCAGGGGCGTTTCACTGTCACTCAGAGGCGTTTCACTGTCACTCAGGGGCGTTTCACTGTCACTCAGGGACGTTTCACTGTCACTCAGGGGCGTTTCACTGTCACTCAGGGGCGTTTCACTGTCACTCGGAGGCATTTCACTGTCACTCAGGGGCGTTTCCCTGTCACTCAGGGGCGTTTCACTGTCACTCAGGGGCGTTTCCCTGTCACTCAGGGGCGTTTCACTTTCACTCAGGGGCGTTTCCCTGTCACTCAGGGGCGTTTCACTGTAACTCAGGGGCGTTTCACTGTCACTCAGGGGCGTTTCCCTGTCACTCAGGGGCGTTTCCCTGTCACTCAGGGGCGTTTCCCGGTCACTCAGGGGCGTTTCACTGTCACTCAGGGTTGTTTCCCTGTCACTCAGAGGCGTTTCCCTGTCACTCAGGGGCGTTTCCCTGTCACTCAGAGGCGTTTCCCTGTCACTCAGAGGCGTTTCCCTGTCACTCAGGGGCATTTCACTGTGACTCAGAGGTGTTTCGTAACTGAGGTCCCAAAAACACATCAGTCAAACAATGTGAATCACATAAGGCAATCTATTTTATTTGTATTGATAATAATAAAATGCACAATAAAAACACAAACAGTTTTTGATATTGTCTTTCTGTACATCAGTGAGCATAAACATCATCATTTCAGGGCCTGCTTGGAGGGGGCTGGGGGCATTTTGCCGTTTTCTATTTCCGAGCCACAGCGCTGTAGACGACCTCGTTTGGATCTGCTGCAGCCTGGGGAAGCAGACAGAGGATCCTGAGTTTAGCTTGAGGTACTTTTCAGCTTTGGGGTTGTAGCTGTGCAGGGGGGTCATTGCACTGATTGACTGACTTTGCAAAATGTTAACACACATTTTACAAACAGCTACATGGTTTTGTAGTTTGTATATTGTGTTTTAATAAACATTAACAAAACCGAGATGTAAAAACTTGACAACTCTGCCCCCTGGTGGACACAACTCTTGTAATTATACAGTGTTACACAGGGGTCTCCAAGTCTGGTCCTGGAGAGTTACTATCCAGTAGGTTTTCTATCCTACTTGGCTTCTGATGAGCCA